ATGGAGGATATTCGAGACTGGACACGAACCATGTCTCTAGTGTGCGCATGGAGTGCCTGAGTGATGTGGGTGGTCGCAGGTGACACCACCCTGCCACGCATGGCAACGCCAAACATTTGTCTATAGAACTTTGAGTCGAACCGCATGCACTGGGTTTGTTAGGACATGGGCCAGGAACACACGATGTCCTTGATCGCAATGTCAAGTAAATGTATTTGAGCTATATTGCTTACAATGATACTCATTACTGCGTCAAGTCCCTAACATTCCCTATGAACCTATGGTCTACATGAGAATACACTCCTCCGTCAGAGACTGGGAGAGTAAATGGGCGCCTCCGACGAATCTTTGGCTGGAGGCGGCCAGGGCGTATGGCATGAAGGAGTGACGTTCTGTTCTCTCAGAACCGGCACAACCGTTTGTGCATTCAGCACTGAACACATGGACAACATTATGTTTGCGACCATCATGTGAACAAACGGACATGGATAATAGCATCGAAACCAGCGCTGGTTCATCGCCACATTTCTCTCCTTGTATGTATCCGCCTACGACAGCAACATCACATATAACATAAGATTTCCTCGACACACCTGTTCAATGCCCAGTTGCGACACAAAAGATGGCACCAGGGCTGACTTCTCCACGATCGGCTTTCAGCAGCTCACAGCTAATATGTCAACGCCTGCATATGATAAAACAGCGATCTGTTCCCTTGGACCTCACAAGAGTCAAGGCCTGGAACCACCCACGCACAATGCAGTATACTGATCTTTTGCTAGCTCAACGTTAACTTGATATGCACAAAATGCTTTGAGGTGTTATTGCTCTAACAATTAACAACGAAATATTTAGATATATATATACATATATATATATATATATGTATATATATATATATATATATATATATATATATATACATATATATATAAATACGGTGTGTTGCGTGCGTGCGGGTGTGTGTGTGTGTGTGTGTGTGTGTGTGTGTGTGTGTGTGTGTGTGTGTGATGGTGTGTGTGGTGTGTGTGTGTGTGTGTGTGTGTGTGTGTGTGTGTGTGTGTGTGTGTGTGTGTGTGTGTGTGTGTGTGTGTGTGTGTGGTGTGGTGTGTGTGTGTTGTGTGTGTGTGTGTGTGTGTGTGTGTTGTGTGTGTGTGTGTGTGTGTGTGTGTGTGTGGGTGTGTGTGTGTGTGTGTGTGTGTGTGTGTGTGTGTGTGTGTGTGTGTGTGTGTGTGTGTGTGTGTGTGTGTGTGTGTGTGGTGTGGTGTGTGTGTGTGGTCAGGACAGGAGGTAAAGTAACGACGTTTTTTGTCATCAGCCGAACGTAGAACCGGACAAAACGTGCCAGAAGCTTGATATATTCCCTACGACGCTGGCGAGTTTGACATAGAGCCTATAAGTTGTGGAAAACGATGATTGCAAAAGCAGGTATTGAAATTCCAAAACTACAATTGCCCAAAATATGACTTCATCGTTTTGTCTACGGCCGCAACGCTACCGACCATGAGGAGTGGTAATGAAATACTGCAAGAAACCCTTACCATCTAATGAACCCGTGTTAAGCCCCAGAATAAAAAGTCGATATTGACATTCAGCACAACCGACACCATCTGCAAACCTAGCCTCTTCAAGCCATTAAGGATAAATTATGAACTCTGATTCCAACCATCCGTCGAAAGTCACTGGTCCACCTTTGAGGAGCTGCTGGTCACGGTCGTCCACACAGGACCGCTGGTCCCGGCCATCCACAGAGGACCACTGGTCCGGTTATCGGTGCGCCGGTCGGCCACCCGGCCCTGTCCTGCGTCAGCCGTCGCTGCGCCCCTGCTGGCGGGAGATGCCCAGCCGAGAAGGCAGCATCTCAGCCCTATCGCGCCGAGGCCAACAATTGAGAGCAATCCCCCCTGATGATGCCACAATAGCGGCGGCACGGGCGGCGCGGCGCGCGCGGCCGTCGCCAATAACGCAGCCTGTCGCCGCCCTGTTTTCGGCGCCGGCTGCAGGCTGAGGGATGGCCTCCCCGGAGGCCGCGCTGGGCCCGGCCGGACTGCGTGACCTTCCGCGCTCCTGACGACGACACCCGACGGCCGCCGACACGTCACGGCCGGCCGCCACTCTCGCCGCCCATGAAGCCGGAATGCGGCCGGCACTATTTTTAGACGGTCTTCTGGACATACTTGGAGTGGGAGAAACTGTTTGTTTCGCGTCAATCTAAAATTTGATGTCAGGTAAATTTCGTTCGCAGTTTCTCACATTATCATTGTAAGGGAGAGGCAGTGAAAGCATCCAGTGAATGGCTCTTGCTTCCATACTCCGTCAATAACAGGTATGAGCCTTGTGATTCGCTGTAGGAAAGTGGCCATAGAACACTACTGCCCGGCAGCCTCGCGCACGTGCCGCACGCTGCCATTGACGAGCAGGGGCCGTTCGGCCTACGCCAGAGCTGACCTTGTTCAAAATAGCTGAGAGTGAGCGATAGAATCGTGGCAGGTTCCGTTATTTTGCGTGAAACCTTTGCTGGGTGATGAACCATACACGGCATTTCTGAGTCATGCAAACGTACTTGCGACAGCTAAGCGCATCTTTGCACTGCATATAGATCCAAGCAAAATTGCGTCTCAATTTTGCATTTCTTTTGAAACTTTGTGCAATTAATGAACAGTTAACTTTGACATGGCAGTGGTAGTCACATGACATGGCAGTCACACTTCAACTCCGCTGCGACTGGACGACTCCCCATATGTTGTCCACCACTTCAGGTGCTGTGCACTAGTGTCCGCTGCAGTGTTTACAGTGTAGTACCGTAGTGTTCTTGATGTCAGTGAACCAGCACAGCGGATTAGGCCGGCTTATGCGAGAGAATAGCTTTCTAGGTGAATATCCATGCATTCCCAAATAAATAAAGCTGTTTGGTACTATGTTATTGCAATCTTACACTAATTCTTACATTTAGGATTACAATTTAAAAATGGCCATCAGGCGTTTTTCGTGAGCCTTTATGTGGATTTTGCGTTACAGTCTTGCGTCAAAGCATGACAAAATTTTCGGAATCGCTCAAACTACCATCGCACGGCTCAACGTATTCTCTTTAATCACGGATATGATTTGCATGTCCTTATTTGACACTATCAGGCCGCTTCTCTATACTTACCGCACAGATCTTCCGACATCCGCTCGTGTCGCTACATTTTGGATAAAAGAGCAACCTGCATGTGCATATAGCGCAGATATGCGGCATATAGCGCAGACAGGCCGGCAGACTGGCTACATACGTGCTGCAACGGCCTCCCAGCAGCTAAATCCATGGACAATCGGATGAAAGTGGTTTAGGAGAGACCCATGCCCTTCAAACATTACAGCACAGGCCTGATCTGCCCCGCCAAGGCAGATGTTATGTCTGCACTGCCTTGTGCTGACGGACGTCACCATTCATCTAACAAGGGCAATCTAACAAGGGACGAGGAAATCTAACAAGGGACACTCATCTAACAAGGGACGTGCAAAATGACTTTTTGAGCCATGTAAGTTACTCAAAAGGTCAAAGGCAAAGCCAAAAGGCATGCCACACACGATATTTGAGCTAACTTTGTTCCGTTTGCACACCTTAGTGCTTATGTCAGTGATTGAAACGCATCTAGAGAGAATGATGAGCCAACTGGACTTGGTTTGATGCAATCCCTTTAATCAGGGCCTTGTTTGCACCTAACACAACGTTTCCCAAGATCAGTATTTGTAAATCGTACGCTGGACAAGGCCAAAAACTACTCACTCAAATTCGTACCTTAGATTATCTGGCAACCAAGTTTCAGCGAAATTTAAGAGCAGCTGGCACATAATTTGGTACCTTGGTGGTCAGTCTATCCTGAGACAGTCCCAGGATAGGGACAACCTGCCATATCACCCACCATTCTCAAGTCAATTCTCTCCAAACAACACCGTAGCCTTATTGCTCATCATCCCCAGAAATGGGAATGCACCCCGCTTCCGCCCTCCCCCTCCCCCACCCATACGCCTTTGCTGCTTACGAAGCTTCGCATACCTATTTCCGTCAAACCAACCTTATCCGCTTCAAACATTTGCGTGCAGTCAATAGCTTACGAACAATTGCGTACGTACTTACTGCACTGCGAGTTTTTCCCGATACGAGCTTTTGTTCTGACGAATTTTCGTTGATACAAACATTTGCCACGCGTACTTTTCACCATCCGAACATTTACTTACGAACAGCTGCGATCGTACTTTGACGTGAGCAATTTTGTCATACAAACTTGCAGGGTAGCATCGTGCAATACGCTCGGATGCAAGATGCATTCAGCAAGACTAGCCAATGATTGCCTCATTCATTATGACATGGTCGAGCAAGTTGTGTTGATTTCTTAAAATGCGGCTCTTAAAATGCGGCTAGACCTTATCTCTAGACCTTATCTCTAGACCTTATCTCTAGACCTCTCTCTCTGTCTGTCTCTCTTTCTTCTCTCTCTCTCTCTCTCTCTCTCTCTCTCTCTCTCTCTCTCTCTCTCTCTCCTCTATCTCTCTCTCCTCTCTCTCTCTCTCTCCTCTCTCTCTCTCTCTCTCTCTCTCTCTCCTCTCTCCTCTCTCTCTCTCCTCTCTCTCTCTCCTCTCTCTCTCTTTCTCCCTCTCTCTCCTCTCCTCTCGTCTCTCTCTCTCTCTCTCCTCTCTTTCTCTCCCTCGCTTCTCCCCCTTTTCCTTTTCTTTTCTCTCTCGCTTCTGCTCCTCTTCTCTCCTTTCCTCTATGATTAAATGGATGCATAACCGTGGATAAAAATCAGTGCATTTGAGTGATGAACCATGGAGCAAACTAGAAAATGTAAAATCGAGTAGTTTTGAATTCGACACTGATGCGGAATGAGCAATGGACTTAATCACGGCACAAAGATGAGCCTTTCGTAAAAAAACTACTTAAATAGGTCACAGAGGGGATTCTACAGTTTTGTCTGCATTCGGAGATAAGCGGCTTCGCCTGCGCTCGGAATGCCGGCGAGTAAGGCTGACAACCCGCTTCCTCGCACGGCTGCAGCGGCACGGGGCAGCAATTCTCTGGTCATCGCCTTGATGCTGAGTGACGTTAGCAATAAGCTGCAATTTGGTCGCAGGTTGGTGTAGATGCTTGCTGCAACACAGATTCGCCGCAAAACCCGGCCTCTCCATATGAAGACATTTGTAACCCGATAGTTTATAGACTGCAATCGGCAGCTCACAGCTTCACACTTACGGTTTTTGTTAACCAGAACAAAATAGACAAACAGTAGTTATGGCATAATCGTGATAATTTCTAGTCAGCTAACACCAGCCATCACTGTGTCTCCGAGCTGGTGAGTTTGCTCAGGAGATGTCATGCCTGAGAACAGGCTCATAGTCGGGACACGTGGCTCATAGTCGGGACACGTGGCTCATAGTCGGGACACGTGGCTCATAGTCGGGGCACGTGGCTCGTAGTCGGGACACGTGGCAAGTCACCGACGCGCTCAGCCCGCCAAAGCGAAAAATCGCTGCCGATGGAATGTCTGCTTATAAGTGGCGTAGCCTGAATCTCACCAGGGAAGGGGACAACTTGGATCATTGAGAACTTCTAGGCAAAGAGCTCTGTTCGTCGCTTATTGGCCCTGTTTTGGGTTTAGGGGACATACGCAAACATAAGGTCCTATTTTGATGCCTCGGGTCAGTTTTCATGTTATGTAATCCAAACACGTGTCTTAATCTGCCAAAGAGCACTGTTTTGTTTTAACTCAGGGCTCCAACCACCTCAAGAAGAGGGTATGGCTTCACAAGCCCCTTCCCTTCCCTGGCCAGGCTACTATCTGCTTTTTGTACAGCAGTAAGAATACCGACACATTTTGCTCTCCATGGATGACCATGCCGTAAGCCCATTGCAATGCGTTGATGGCAGGCAGACTGGCGCTGAGATATGGACCGATTCTTGCTATGAGCTACCGATCCTGAGAGGCTGAAAAGCCTGACCACAGACAAACTCGCCTGCGACGGTGTGCCGACGACAGCACCACCTGGAGTGCGCCCGGTGAGTCACACAGAGGGCGCTTGAATAGCCCTCGATGTCTGCTGGCGTCCAGCAAAGTTACCGACTCGTGATTCCCAATAATGGGGCCGTACGGAGGAGACTCTCTGGTTCAGAGTCCCCACATGAGCACATATCAGCTGCGTTCCATGTCGTCCAGTTCCCAACAGCAGGCTGCTTTTGGTCCCGGACAACGGAGCCATGCGGGGGCACTTCAGTCGCGTTCGGCGTCCTCCAGCGTCTCCGGCAGAGGACGGCTTCTGGTCCCGGACAACGGAGCCATACGGGGGCACTTCAGTCGCGTTCGGCGTCCTCCAGCGTCTCCGGCAGAGGACGGCTTCTGGTCCCGGACAACGGAGCCATGCGGGGGCACTTCAGTCGCGTTCGGCGTCCTCCAGCGTCTCCGGCAGAGGACGGCTTCTGGTCCCGGACAGCTGAGCCATGCGGGGGCACTTCAGTCGCGTTCGGCGTCCTCCAGCGTCTCCGGCAGAGGACGGCTTCTGGTCCCGGACAGCTGAGCCATGCGGGGGCACTTCAGTCGCGTTCGGCGTCCTCCAGCGTCTCCGGCAGAGGACGGCTTCTGGTCCCGGAGAGCTGAGCCTTGCGGGGGCACTTCAGTCGCGTTCGGCGTCCTCCAGCGTCTCCGGCAGAGGACGGCTTCTGGTCTCGGGCAGCTGAGCCACACACAGAGCTCCGACGCCGCCCAAACCTCCCATGACAATGAACGGGTAGGATGGACTGAGTATAGCCTGCCGACGCAGAGAACAGTGCTTAGATATGCCGAGGAACGGTCGACTGGAGACGGCCGTCAGCCGACCCGCTGGCAAATAACGCGCAGCCTGGCAACGCACTGCGGCGCAGAGGACAAACAGCCTGGAGTGTGTGTAAATGTTCCTTCATGATGACTTTCTTATTTTGTGACTTCTTAGCCTTTACTACTTCTTCTTAGTGTGCTGGCAATGCGCAATGAATAGGTAGCATCCTGAGCCAGACATGGATGAATGTTTACGAGCACCTCGCATCGACCATGTGCTTAACAAGACCTACATCAGCGACTAGCCGCCTGCAGAGAGACACGCACCAGCCGGAGGATGTAGGGGGTGAAGATGCCGGCGCCGATGCCGACCAGCGACGACAGCCCGATGGCCATGGAGCGGACGCAAGTGGGGTACAGCTCTGCCGACTGCAGGTACAGCACCACGAACGTGAGGCTGGTGCAGAACTTGCCCAGCATCAGCAGGGCCGTGATGGCTCCGCCGGTGCCGGAAACTGGCGGACAGAGGGCGGCGTAGAGTCAGGGCAGAGCGATGCCCGACGCAGATAGAGCACATTACAGCACTGTAAACACTCTGGGATGGCGGCGCCAGAACTGCCGGCACTGATGACAAATCCGACAGGGACTTGAATATGTCCAGGACACAGTCATTGGCCATCGATAAATGAAGATGATTCAACAATATAAGATGACAACAGTCCGGACCACGCGAACTTGGCGGGAAGGGCTTTGGCCACGCCTGCCCAGATGGCAGGAAAGCAGGGGTCAATATCAATAGCATCGCCAAGCCGCAAAGCCCACTAGTCGGCCACCGTTCCTGTTGCTTCTCACCATACTGCAACGGAATTACGGCCATCAGGGAGAGGCCAGAGCCGGTGAAGAACAGGAGCTGCGTGGGCCGGCGACCGAGCCGGTCACACACGTATAGCGCCAGAACGTTCGAGGGCAGCTCCACAACCGACAGCAAGAAGAAGTTGAGGAAGAGGTTGCCACTCATGTCGGAGAAGCTCAGCATCAGCCCGTAGTACATGATGACATTGATGGCCCTGCAGACAGGGGAGATGATATGCCATTCGGCGTTTTTCGGTGCGGAGCGACATGGTCATGTGCGCCAGGCTCCGCACGCATCACCATGTCAGCAGCCGTGAGCTCCGAGACGAGATATAGCGGTGCTGCAATCACAAACAGCGAAGACGGCTCCGCTGGTTACGTGTGCTGGGCTCCGCACGCATCACCATGTCAGCAGCCGTGCGCTCCGAGACGAGATATGGCGGTGCTGCAATCACAAATAGCGAAGACTGGCTCAGCAAGCTAGCGGTCCCAGCACAAGTCATAGAGTAACAGTTTCAATTAGATAACCCTAGATTGTGCCACTTGGACACATACCTCAAAACTGTTCCCTCACAAAACTCAAATCAAGACCGGGGCCTAGGAGCATTCTGATAAATCTTGCTGATGCTTTCCCATGTCGTGTGTCAGCATATGACTCAGCCTGCCCAAATGTGGATATCTTAATGTGACATTATTGCACTAAACGTGTGTGCCCAAAACGGTGCGCAGGCATGGGATGGGCACAGAGGGCGCGTGCCCCCTCCTTAAATTCCGCGGGCACTTCGAGCCTCCCTGGACCGACTATTAAGAGGCCGAAGGGCTGTTCGGAGGGAGTCCCGATCCGAAGGAACCGGCCCTCAAAGGCCATTTAGGCGGCCCTTGGCGCCGATTGGAGGCCCCCTGAGTCGACGAGGGCCTCACCCGTCAGAACGCTGCCATCTTGCAGCCTCAGCCCCTGCCTTCGCCGGTAGAAGGACACAACCTTTTTCTGTCGGAGGCATCTGCGGCTAGCCTCTTTACTTGAGCACCTGGGACAACACCGGGTAAGGGGAGAAATTGTGTTGTCTAGAGCAGCCTTTACCCCTTAAAAATACCCTACAAGTTGTGGGTGAACTTATTTCATCATGTCTGATGCTTGTTTAAATATCTCCAACTTTCAAACATTCGCTAACTTTTCCGTAAAACCCAGAAGAATTCCGAGGAAGCCTCCAAGAATAACATGCTTAGAAATGAGCCTTTGAAATGAATCACTGAACCACTGTGAAATTAATAGCACTTACGGTTTATTCCATGTAGTCGTCTAAACTCTGTTTCCTCCGGTCTATTTATCTTAAAATACAAACAGAGCTGCATCTTCTGGTAGCTATTGACTTCAGCTTCAATCGAAAAGACACAGAAGAAAATCGTGCCGCTCAAAATAAAGTGAACTAAGTCTCTTTTGTTTTGGTTTTTAGCGGGGGCGCTTTCACCATTAGGTCAACCTTCTGCGCCTCTCCCCTCCCCCCCCCCCCCCATCGTGACCAAGGCTCTGGCTGTGGCTCTAAGCGTATGCAAGCTACCTTTAGTGAGCATGACGACATGCTCGGTGGTCTGTGTTGATAATAATTTTGATGTTTGACGGCAGATTTTGCATTAAAAAATCTCATGAAATGCCATCGCGAACCGGGTCCAAGGCAGCGGTGTTCGACCCGGCAGGCAATGAGGTCGGCAGCAATAAGCGCACCAACAGGAGGTGAGGGCAACAACGTGTGGACCCGCGGCAATATGCGCACCAACAGGAGGTAAAGGCAACAACGTGTGGACCCGCGGCAATATGCGCACCAAAAGGAGGGGAAGGCAGCAACGTGTGGACCCGCGGCAATATGCGCACCAAAAGGAGGGGAAGGCAACAACGTGTGGACCCGCGGCAATATGCGCACCAAAAGGAGGGGAAGGCAGCAACGTGTGGACCCGCGGCAATATGCGCACCAAAAGGAGGGGAAGGCAACAATGTGTGGACCCGCGGCAATATGCGCACCAAAAGGAGGGGAAGGCAACAACGTGTGGACCCGCGGCAATATGCGCACCAACAGGAGGTGAAGGCAGCAACGTGTGGACCCACAGCCGGCGAGGATGACGGCATGTACCCACTAGTAGGAGGTGAGATCAGTTTCCGTGAACGCACCAGTAGGAGGCGGGACCAGTCTCCGTATACGCACCAGTAGGAGACGGGATCAGTCTCCGTACACGCACCAGCAGGCGGTGATGACGGCCGTCTTGAGCCGTAGCCGGCGTCCAGAGAGCAGCTGCAGCAGGCTGGGTGAGGCCGGCTGACAGCTTGTTCCGCTGGTGGTCTCTAGCAGCCCCTCCATGGTGCCGGGCGGCACGCCGTTGGCGACGGCCACCCTCCTCAGCACGGCAGTGGCGTCCGTAAGCCGGCCCCGGCTTAGCAGCCAGCGCGGCGACTCGTCCACCAGCCTGCGGCCGCCAAGGTACGGTCAGTGGACCAGACAGAGATAGAATCGTCCACAAGCCCGAAGCCGCCGGGCAACGGGCCATGGATCAGATGCAGATAGGCTCTTCCAAGAGCCTGCAGCCGTCAGGGAACCGTCAGTGGGTCAGGCAGGGACAGAGAGAGCGAGAAAGAGAGAGAGAAGGGGAGAGAGAGAGAGAGAGAGAGCGGGAGAGAGAGAAAGAGAGAAAGAGAGGGAGAGAGAGAAAGAGAGAGAGAGAGAGAGGGAGAGAGAGAGAGAGAGAGAGAGAGAGAGAGAGGAGAGGAGAGAGAGAGAGAGAGAGAGAGAGAGAAGAGAGAGAGAGAGAGAGAGAGAGCGAGAGAGCGAGAGAGAGAGAGAGAGAGAGAGAGAGAGAGAAGGAGAGAGAGAGAGGAGAGAGAGAGAGAGAGAGAGAGAGAGAGGGAGAGAGAGAGGGAGAGAGAGAAGAGAGAGAGAGGAGAGAGAGGAGAGAGAGAGAGAGAGAGAGAGGAGAGAGAGAGAGAGAGAGAGAGAGAGAGAGAGAGAGAGAGAGAGAGAGAGAGAGAGAGAGAGAGAGAGAGAGAGAGAGAGAGAGAGAGAGAGAGAGAGAGAGAGAAGAGAGAGAGAGAGAGAGAGAGAGAGAGAGAGAGAGGAGAGAGAGAGAGAGAGAGAGAGAGAGAGAGAGAGAGAAAGAGACAGAGACAGAGGCAAAGACAGAGACAGAGACAGAGAGAATCACTACCAGCCTGTGGCCGCCAGGGACTAGCCAGTGGATTCGACATGCATCATTTCATCTTTCGCTTGTCTATTTCATTTCGTCGACGCTGTGTGACAGCGGAGAAAGTTTGCAGCATGCAGTGACCTGCTACTGCTCTTGTGGCGTCACTTATGCAGTGTGCATTGCCTGATATGGTGACTTCTGAAATAGCCGACAGCAATAGCAAGGCTGCGAGGCTGCGACAGCAAGGCCACGAGGCTGTGACTGCTGCTCGGACATGGGATCGTGGCTGCCAGTCGGGACATATGCATTGGTGCATCAGCATTGGCTGCCAGTCGGGACACATGCATTTGTGCATCAGCATTGCCTGCCAGTCGGGACATATGCATTCGTGCATCATCATTGGCTGCCAGTCGGGACATATGCACTGGTGCATCAGCATTGGCTGCCAGTCGGGACATATGCATTCGTGCATCATCACTGGCTGCCAGTCGGGACATATGCATTGCTGCATCATCATTGGCTGCCAGTCGGGACATATGCATTGCTGCATCATCAGGGGGATGAATATCTTGGAATCAACTGAGACAAAGTTTTGCATTGACACATGGATTAGTAATAAACTTTCACGTCTGTCGCACTGTACCAATGTTTATATTCGTGACGAGAGAGCAGTTTTTCTTTGATACTGCTATAAAATCGTATTCGATATTAGCGCAACATATTTTACGCCGTGGAGTTATGCACCGCCAGCAAAAGGTCATCAAAAGGCTTATAAAAAAACATCAATTTTTGGTAACAACCCAAAGCTGTGCACTTGTGAGAGTGCTCCAGAAGTGCGGGCCAGGTTCAATGTTGCGATTGTTTACACATCACAGTGATGACATCACTGTGATGATGATTTGCCGTTTATAAGCTTGCTGTGAGGGCGATAAGGGTTTGTTGGTTTAGTTTCGCCGGCAATGAAACGTTTCTTCCGAACAATGGTCTGAATAGGCGTTCCAAAGGCTACAGATAATGCACACGCATTTTATGATAGGCCACCCGGCTCCTCTGTTTACCACCAAATGACTACTACGGGAAAGCCTTTGTGAAGGTACCGGAAGCTTACCCTAGGGCAATGTGACCGGGCTACGACTTTAACTAGGGAGGATCGCGAGGCGCGGAGGATCACCAGACGGCCCGAGGGGCGTCGCGGCTCGGCCGGCAGTGAGGCGGTGTCTGCTACTAAACCCAAGTCATTCTCCCCGCCGGCTACTGAGCCCGCGCCGCGTTTTGAGCCCAAACCGATAGCTAGACGAAACTAGCTAGCTAGATAGCTAGATAGCTAGATAGATAGATAGCTAGCTAGAAACCGAACTCGAGCCTTTTCTTAAGCTTTTGTTTTCAATTGGTTAACAGTGGCCGCTCGCCCGCTCCTAACTAACATCTCTACCGAGCCCTCTAGCAGCGCTCTCAAGAATCTCATCCAGTACGTGTAGAAGGACCTCGTCTAGTTTGGCCACTATGTGCGGGTATGGTCCGCTATCCGGCAGAGCAGCATCTGTGACTGTAGCTCACGCAGCTTGTTCCGGAACATCGTGCAGCTCCGCGAGCTGCCGCAGCACACACAGGCCAAGGTGCGGCCCGTCCTCCAGCGTAACGGGTGCTGGGGCCGGCCGGAACAGCTGCTGCTGGACATGGCGGGGACGAAACCGTGATCCGCGAACAACGGATGCTGGGGCCGGCCGGAACAGCTGCTGCTGGACATGGCGGGGACGAAACCGTGATCCGCGAACAACGGATGCTGGGGCCGGCCGGAACAGCTGCTGCTGGGCATGGCGGGGACGAAACCGTGATCCGCGAACAACGGGTGCTGGGGCCGGCCGGAACAGCTGCTGCTGGGCATGGCGGGGTACGAAACCGTGATCCGCGAGCACGCGATTCCGACACGCGACACGCCTCACGTGAGCAGCAAACCGGGGGTCTTTTTCAGCCCAGGGTTTTTGCTATCCCTGAAATAAACTTCGAGGCCGTGAGGTGCTCCGAAATGATCTGGCGCCGACCAGTCTCACAGTCGCCACCGCTAGACCTCAGCGACGGCGAGCTGCGGGACATAGTGCAGGATCTGTTGGTCATCCTTCCCTATTCGGCTCACACACAGGCGGTGGAGAGGGCCGTGCGCATCGTCACCGAGGCGTGTTCGGCGCAGATAGGGAAGGGGCGTGGTATGGCCTCAACACGGCCAAGCTCAGGCAACGCCAGATTATCCCCAGCGTCACGTCTAAGAAAGATCTGCTCTGGAGGTTTACTGGAATTGATTAATTAATAACATTCTTAAAAGCATCAGACTCCCGTTTCGACTTCCATTCGTTTTACACTCGCCCGAATCTTTATCGTCCTCTATGTCCCAATTGTTCAAAGTGCAAATTGATAATGCATGCATGATTACAAGATGCGCTGTGTTTTCTTTTCAGCAACTCAAAGGTTGTTGTATTTCTATAGCAGCCGCTTTAAATGCGTCTGCCACAGGCGGTCGTAGCAGCAGGCCACGGCTAGGCAGCCGTCGCCGTCACTGCCGCCGCACCATTCCGTTCGCCCGCTACCCGGATAGAGGACAGTCCCTCGAAAAAGGGTGGACCAGAGAGCGGGCCGCTTCATCAGCACTCGGCGCTTCCACAGACAGCATGTGCTGCGGCTCCACCTTCTGCTTCAGTAGCACGGCGACAGGAAAGCTGGAGACGTGCATACCACAGAATGGCGACGGCAGCACCGCGTATCAAGCAGCCTGGCAGCGGCTAATGCAGCAGTGACCAGGTACCCGCCGCATCACAGAGTGAAACCAGCGCCGCACTGCCGAAAACGTCTGGGGCTGAAGCTGGAGCTTCGGCAATATATAGAGCCCAGCTGCGACGGTATTTCCCCTACCGTGGGATCTCCGCCCACACGCGTTTCAGGTTTCCGGCCTCTGAGCATCTCCTGTTTGGGCCGGTGGATCGAATACGCAGGCTCGGCCAGGAGCAAGATGTGCATGGGGTCACCTTACCCCCCCCCCCCTCCCCCCTCTACGCCCATGGTGCAGGTTGTGGACCTTGCTAGATATTTTAAGCTGTACGTCAGGCAATATATTCTGATGCATATGCTATGCATGGTTTTATTTGCAGCGCGTGAGCTGTCTTAGAGAAGTGAAAGCCCAAAGCAGTACTAACCAACGAACTCATACGAGTTCATACCCGACAAACAGCACATCAAGTTTCTCTCGTATGACAATCGATCGAGCAGTGCCTGGTCTGCATATTAGACTGAAGCCCGGGACATATTCGTACGACGGCTTATGGAGCGCTCGGTAGCTTTGTTTCCGTATGGAAACCTATGTTGTATCTCTTGCCGCCCACGGTTTGGTGTCATCTGTGGCGGTCAGCGCCGCCCAGCACATGGTGACTGCAACGCCGGGCGTCGGTTTACAGCGATATTTCAATCAGCTGGCGCGTCAAGAGTGTAGGTTTTTGGGAAGAACTTTTCTATGCCGTATGATTTTGGGCTCCAGCGTCAAAGAACTTCTTTGTCTCAGTTGGTTCTGTTACCGATGACGCACTCTAATATGCATGCCATGAGCTTCCCCATACCGAGGGCGGTGAAGTGGATCAACATGTCATACGTTTACGTCACGATCATGGGTGATGCCTGGAAAGAGACGTCTTAAAACCCTCAGATCACCCTCTCAACTTCTGTTTTGCAGTTGGGTACTCGAACAGGTCTTGAGTGCTTCCACAAAGGCCATTCGAGGGAGAGTCAATAAGGAGACAGAGGGCACCCGTTGCTGCACCATACGCAGCTAGTGCCACGAGGCGCGGTGTACTGGTCGCGCGCCGCCTTTCCAATACACTGGCCAAAAGCAGCGATGTGCACTGACCAGAAACAGGGCAGGAAGAGCAGCGTTGGTAGAGCGCTGGCCAGACCCAGGTGCACCCAGTCGTTTAGCAGGTAGGCCACAAGTGGTAGGGCACACATTCCCAGAGTGAAGGCCATGGACACTACCACGGCGTAGCAGGTACGCCGCGAGACGCCAGTAAACTCCATCCCTGCGGCAGAGACGCCAGTGAACTCCATCCCTGCGGCAGAGACGCCAGTGAACTCCACCCCTGCGACTGAGATGCCAGTGAACTCCATCCCTGCGGTAGAGACGCCAGTGAACTTCATCCCCGCGGCAGAGACGCCAGTGAACTTCATCCCCGCGGCAGAGACGCCAGTGAACTTCATCCCTGCGACTGAGAGCCAGGCGAAGTCCGTGCCCACGGCGCGACGACCCGCAGCGCGCACGGTCAGTGAAACGCCGTTGCTATCATGCGGATTCAATTGATACTGACGTTGCGGACTTATGAACAACGCGATACAAAACTATTTGATATGTGACTTTTACATAAACTGTACTGGTATCGGAATAAGGTGTCATAAGGCTTCGCAAGGAGATTGGCAATAAACCAAGGCCATATTCCAGATCAGTTCATTGGGCTAGGTTGGACCACTGAGTGGCCATTTCAACAGTGCATTACACTGTGAAATGATATGAGCCATTACATTTGTTGGGCAGACATAACTGTTACATGAAGTGATGGACGCAAGAGTATTCAGCGTCACATGCATTGAATAGAGGTGATTCAGATCTGCCTGCCCACGAGTACCCTGCATGATCCTGACCTAGCAGCGATGTCACAACGCGGAGAGCGCATGCCCACCGATGGTGAAGACCAGCTGATACATGACGGGGTAGCAGAGCGCGGCGAAGAAGCGCATGACGATGAACACGGTCGGCTGGGCGGCCAGCACGCCGGCCACGCTGACTAGCGGCTGCAGGACGGCCAGCAGGAAGAACACCAGGCGACGGCCGAGCCTGGCAGAAACGGGTACAAAGGCACTTCGCTCAGCTCACATGGTTAGGTCACACGATCACGTGACTCAGCCAGGCCGAACGGTCAGCTGCCACGGCAAACGCACAGGTCCACATCACACGGCCAGATTAAACAGCCAGGTCGCTGTGCTAGGTCACGGACAAACCATACGGATAAGTCACATCGCCAGGTTACACCGCCAGGTCACAAGGTCGGTCGGGTCTCAGGGTCAGATCAGGTCATGCAGTTATTTAATTATGTCAGTCATGTGATCGGGCTATATGGACAGGTCACATAGTCAGTTTACACGGTCGGGGCGGTCAGCCACGCTAAGTCTGTGCAGCGCTGCTCACTTGTGAGCTAAGGATACGCGCAGCGCATAGCTCGACACGATGGCAAAAATGAGGCCTCTGTATGATGGTAGGGCAAGACTGATGCTCTATGGTAAGCGTTGCCATCCGACGGCGTCCCCCAGAGTGGAAATACCGAAGTCTCTGAAGAGCGAAATGCAATGTTCCCGAGCACCGTCATGCAATGAACCGAAAATGTCTGTTTAGTAGCCAAAAACAGCTACAGTGTTCCACTGACAATGATTGTTCAGGTAAGAAAGTGATGCCAAAAGAGTTTAATAGTGCGAAAAGATGTGCATTTCTCTAATGCAGCTGTTGTGAAAAAACACTTTATTGGGTCTACACACCACTCGTATTGTCCTGTTTGCAATAAGAGGGAAGAACGCACATGCTTATGCTAATTAACATTTTTTGTTTGGCTCGGTGGAAATTACAGTGCGATCCATCTGCAGGGGGAAATCAACATGCGAAGGTTGGCAGAACTGGTGGCAGTGATGCTTTATAATGGTGAGTGTGTTGTGTCAATCACGAATCTCCTACACCAGCAGCCATTCTGAGGAACGTTTTAGTAGCGGAATTTGGAAACAAATTGCACGATTTCGTTAAGCGATAGCAAAATAGTCATGATTCACATGCCCGTGAAATTAGCGATTTCTTCGGGGACTTATTTAGCGACGGGTTCCAATTTCTCCAAAAAAGGTCTCAAGGTTCATTATAGTACGAGAACATCAAAAATGACCATAATTTTGCAGTATCATGTGACGTTCCAGGACAAAAGCAGGGTCAAAGGACAGGGAGCTCGATATCGTCCAAAAGATACCAGACCGATTTTAAACTTGCAAACATCGAATATTAAAAACAGAAAGAACTTACGTCCGCGTAAAGGTCCTGACCTCTCAAGGACACTCTTCAAGGTCAACCACTGGCTCAACGGATGGGGAGTGCAATATCAGCCAAAAATTATCGCTCGATTTTGAGCTTGCAAACATCAGAATATTCACCACAAAAAGAGCTAGTGTGCGTCAAAAAGTTCTTACCTCTCAAGGTCACACTTCAAAGTCAAACGACGGTTCAAAGGACAGGGAATTCCATATCAACCAAAGCTTACCGACCGACTTTAAACTTGCAAACATCAACACATTTACCACAGAAAGAACTAGCGTCTGTCAAAGTCTTGCCCGCGTTTGACCTTAAAGGGTGAACTTGAGAGGTCAGGACTTTTGGACGGACGCCAGTTCTTTTTGCGCTGAATATTCTGATATTTACAAGTTCAAAATCGTCCGGTAATTTTTGGATGATATTGAGCTCCTCGTCTTTTAACCCGCGTTTGACCTTGAAGGGTCATCTTGAAAGGTCAGGACATTTTGACGGACGCTGGCTCTTGGCTTGTGAATGTTTTGCTGCTCGCAGTTATCATATCGACCGGTATTTTGCGGGGTGAAATCGAGTTCCCCGTTCTTTATGCCCGTGTTTGACCTTGAAGGATGACCTTAAAGGGTTAGGACCTTTTGACGGACGCTAGCTCTTTCTGTGGTGAGCATTCTGATGCTTCCAAGTCAAAATCGGTCGGTAATTTATGGGTGATATTGAGTTCCTCGTCTATTGAGCCAGCGTTTGAGCTTGAAGGGAGACATTAACAGCTCATGAATTTCTGACGGACACTAGTTCTTTACGTGTTGAGTATTCTGACATCGGCAAGTTAAAAATCAGCCGGTAATTTTTCCGTAATATTGAATTCCCCGTCCTTTGAGCCCGCGTTTCACCTTGAAGGATGACTTTGAGAGTTCAGGACTTTTCAAAAAAACGCTAGATCTTTTTGTGGTGACTATTCTTATGTTTGCAAGTTTAAAATTGGTGCGGTAATTTTTGGGTCATATCGAGTTCTTCGTCCTTTGAACTGGCTTTTGACCTCGAAGGTCACATGATATTGCGGAATAAAGGTCATTTTCGATGTTTCCGTGCCATAATGGATCTACAGATCTTCTTCAGAGAAATCGGAACTCGTCGCTGAATAAATATCTGAATAAGTCGCGAACTTCACGGCCATAGGATCCATCGTATTTTAGGGTTGGAACGCTGCTTGGCAACAACGTGCTAAAATACGAGAAATGTTTTTGGTGAAAAATACGGCTTGCAACTCCCAAATACCCTCAGACGACTTGTAATGGCAAAATCATTTGACGCGCCAGTCCCCCAGTTAGACGACCAAGATGCCGTCATCCGTGGTGGTGCCGAAATCAGTTGTCATTGTACTGCGTTGACACATTTGTTTGGAGCTTGATGTATGCTGAGTGTATGAAGTCACGTACATTATAATGTAGGGGAGGGTAGGATGAGTTGCATGCTTTTCAAGTATTGTCAGGGGGATATATTCAAAACATATGCGACGGATAACAGTCTTGCGTCACTCAGTCGACGCAGAATAACCCCCTCTACCTTTCAGTTTTTTTTCGACCGCATACATGCACGCATCTTGGGATGATCGCGACAAATCTGTGTTTGCATATCATTGAAAACTACGGCGATGGGTGCAAAGGGCTTTAAGGGCTTAGGGCATAATAAGAACGATGAAAATGCAATACTGAATGGTGGGGAAGTGGATCTGTCGTATATACTGCAAAACAGGTGGCGTCTGCTTCCCAAGGATTTCGGGGAGGGGGCGCAAACTTCTTTCAAAATGCCGAACGGTGCCTGTTGTATCAGCTCGCCATGAGGCATGTTGTATCATGAGGCATATAGTGATATAATGTACCAGCAGCATGTCACTGACTGACTTCTTATCAATGGTTGGCTGCCATGATTGCCATGAGTTGCTGTCATCAGAAAACATAGCTACATTACCCATGCAGACCTTCATCCGCCCGAGTGACCGAAACCGAGGTGTCAGTAGTCGTAAAACAAACACGAATAAAAAGGGCAAACATGTGCCATGTCATAATCACGACGACTTGACAAATAGCACAGACGAGCAAGTCTGGTTGTCATTTCACAACGCATCAAACTGGCTTGCGATGCAACTTACTCTGACAAAATGGCATATGACAAATGACAATATGACAATTCTAAGGGCAACAATAAAAAAACAAATTCCCCACCTCGTGATGCGATTTACCTCAGGCTGTGGCAGGCTGTTTCGCTCGAAACAATGCAATTCAAATATGAAGCCGAAGGCTATCGCTGCCTTTATATATAACCATCTTAGTCCTTATCTCACTAGTTACGACCGAAGGGGCACAGAGTAAAACCTGATACAGCTCTCTCTACTCTCGCCTACTTGCCAAATGCGTGAAACAAAATAGTCGTCCACAGAACAAATTCGATGGTCTAATCTGATTGATCTCTATAAGAGCTCTGAACAGGTTTTTCTAACGTGTATGGTGTGGAAGACACTGTCGCCTTCATTTTTTAAAATTATTGGTTTCAGATTGGTTTGGAACTATTTGGTTATTTATTGGAACTATCGGTTTTCTCAGCCAGGGTGAGAAGGTGTGATTATGCATTTTGCATTTTGCATTTTGCATTTTGCATTTTCCTTATGCATTTCACACCCTAAAACCTTCCCCATCTCTCCAAGCGTTCTACTCATCACAGGTTAGCGCCTGCCGATTTGAGACTGGAAACAAGTGATGGGCGTCTTCGGTCTCACCTCGCGCGCTGGTAAAAATCCTCCATCGTGACGATTGTTAGAAAGCAGCGACGGTTATCCCGAACGTGGTAGCGGACGGTAGGGGCTGTTATTTGGCAGCTGGTCGTGCCGGCAGAGCGAATGTGCCTGACAGACCCGATCGTGACGCCATAGCGAACATGTCTGGCAGACCCGGCCGTGACGCCAGAGCGGACGTGTCTGGCAGACCCGATCGTGACGCCATAGCGAACATGTCTGGCAGACCCGGCCGTGACGCCAGAGCGGACGTGTCTGGCAGACCCGGCCGTGACGCCAGAGCGGACGTGTCTGGCAGACCTGGCCGTGACGCCAGAGCGGGCGTGTCTGGCAGACCTAGCCGTGACGCCAGAGCGGATGTGTCTGACAGACCCGGTCGTGACGCCATAGCGGACGTGTCTGGCAGACCCGGCCGTGACGCCAAAGCGGACGTGTCTGACAGACCCGACTGTGACGCCAGAGCGGACGTGTCTGACAGACCCGACTGTGACGCCAGAGCGGACGTGTCTGACAGACCCGACTGTGACGCCAGAGCGGACGTGTCTGACAGACCCGGTCGTGACACCGGCACGGTCAGGCACGTGACGCCGGCACGACGCACCTATCGGCCAGCCAACCGAAGACGATGCTGCCCAGGAGATTTCCCACGGAGGACGTGGTGAGTAGCCGGGTGCTCTCCTGGCTCTGGTCGCACACCCACTGGAAGGCCGACACGGCCGTTTCCGAGAAGTCATTCCGGTCGAATTCCCAGCCGAACTGGCACGCTGCCAGCAAGGACACAAAAGTTGAAGTACGGACGAGCCACAAGTCACAGCAGGCTGGTCGGTAACGCTGGCCAGTCTTGCGCTTGGGGGGATTATTTAGGAATTACAAGTCGACGAGTTAACTCGAGGGCGTTATCAATAATAGAGGGTTCCTAGGACGGTGAGCAGATGAAGCTTCATGCGCTTTGCGGGAACGTACCGCAGTTCCAGCGGCAATGCCGGTATTTGCCTAGTACGACGGTATTGCCGGCAATCAATGCTGTCGACGGTATTGTCGCCATGGTGCCCGCGCTGTTTCGAGGTGCAGCGGTGTGACCGTACCTGTCACGCCCGCCGTTTGGTTTGAAGACGCAGCTGGGGTCGCGCCAGCGTCGTAAGTGGTGTTTCGCCAGTCATCAGTGGCGTTTGTCAGCGCGGCGCTGAACATGAGACACCGGCTGTGGGTCGCCGAGCCACCCGGAAGGCGCCGCCTGGAAACGGCGCCGACGCCATGGTCAGCGGACGGCCCGAGACTGCAGCGCATGGTCGCACTGCTTAGGTCGACAGATCTGCATCCAACGCAGCCCACTCAGTGATTTGTCAGCTCGGATACACGGGCAAAGTTATCTACCGGACAGACCTATCAGATTGTCCCTGATCATATCGCCTTACGCAGGGCGGTGCGAGGTATGGAAGCAATGAGTCTTTTTATAAACAAACATGCAGTAAAGGTCATATTCTGGACGCCACGCTCTTTTTTCTGAGTGAGTACGTATGATGGAAAAGAGGATTGACAACACATTTCAGCACTCTGTTATAATATTCCGTGTTATTTGTCCTCTCTGATTATACAACACTTGCTTGGCCTAGAGTGATCATACCACGGGTATGACATGCGTTACCACGTTACCACGTTAGTGCTACCGCAAATAGTGCGATCGACAGAACTGAGCTGGTATTTCTTCTACGCGAAATTACATCTACTTCAAATAGCTACGAGCATTAGTCCCACGTGATACAACCTATACTTCACAAACATATGCTCGTCTTTACTCCCACTGAAAATACTTATGCAGTTTTTTGTATATGCCACAGTAATTTTGCTGTCAGTGTTTCATTGCGGCAACGCACACGCTTCAAACCAATCATTATCACCACCAATCATTACTAGTACTGCAAAACCATGCACTTTTTACTTGCATGCGCATTACTTGTATTGCCAATGCTTATATGGCAAGATAATATGCCTAGGTTTAGCCATTCCGTGGTGTTACAACACTTATGATACAACATTTCTTCTACTGCAATGACTCCTAAAGCCTACTTTTAGTAGGTCTGCAGCCTAAACTTAAGCGTGATGCGCAACAAAATGACAACATAATGTAACATAATGTATTGCCGACCGCCCATTTTGCCCCATTTCTTTTCATTGCAAAATTATCTAGTTGGGAGGTCCCGTACCAAACAACAAATCGCTTCTACACCCGTGCTGGGAATCCACGTATATTAACATCCACGATTGTCTTGCGACAGCCCGCTGTTTCTTCGATTTCATGGCGCCTGCTGTGCTAAAACACCTTTCGGCATGCTGATTGGAGCTAGGCTGAACTGTAAGAAATGAAAGTCGTGATATGGTGAGCTGGGCGGAGCGTGGTGACCTGATGTGCTCCAATATTACAGCACTGTGCGAGTTCTGCCGAGATATGGTGAGCTGGCCGGAGCGTGGTGACCTGATGTGCTCCAATATTACAGCACTGTGCGAGTTCTGCCGAGATATGGTGAGCTGGGCGGAGCGTGGTGACCTGATGTGCTCCAATATTACAGCACTGTGCGAGTTCTGCCGAGATATGGTGAGCTGGGCGGAGCGTGGTGACCTGATGTGCTCCAATATTACAGCACTGTGCGAGTTCTGCCGAGATATGGTGAGCTGGGCGGAGCGTGGTGACCTGATGTGCTCCAATATTACAGCACTGTGCGAGTTCTGCCGAGATATGGTGAGCTGGGCGGAGCGTGGTGACCTGATGTGCTCCAATATTACAGCACTGTGCGAGTTCTGCCGAGATATGGTGAGCTGGGCGGAGCGTGGTGACCTGATGTGCTCCAATATTACAGCACTGTGCGAGTTCTGCCGAGACTTGGTCTCCTGGGACACTGCTTTATTCGGAGGAAAGAAGAATGTGATTCCATTTGACACTTGCATGAAAAAGTCCAGTTTTCCCAAACGAGTTTCATCGGTGCGGGAACGTCATTTAAACCTATAAAATTGATCGCTTAGCTCCTTTAGTCTCGCAAAAACCACAGCAAGACAGCATTTCCTAGCCTTAATGTAACATGGCCAGATACAGAGCTTTAACAGTGGAATTTTCCTGTACCTTATCTAAGGTGGGAACAGAACAAAACTGTACAGGACCGAGGAAAAGCATCAGAACAAAGGACAGCGCTGGTGCGGGACAGATGGCAGGACAGAGGCATCAGCACAAAAGGACAGCGCTGGTGCGGGACAGATGGCAGGACAGAGGCATCAGAACAAAGAACAGCGCTGGTGCGGGACAGATGGCAGGACAGAGGCATCAGAACAAAGAACAGCGCGAGTACGGGACAGATGGCAGGCAGAAAACGAGGCAGAGGATATGATTGGGGACACGCCAAGGCGTAATATGACCTGATCAGTCGGAGCATCTAAGTAAATGGATATATAATACAAACAACAAAAAGAACAGACCAAAGGACTGTTTTGATGATAGCAAGGAGTTTCTACATACGAAAGGAAAGAGGGCTGGGGGCAAATTGCGGACAAGGGTCAATGCAGGGCTGGAAATAGATAGGGCGGGGTATGGGCTGGAGCTCTCTTTGGGCAGGCTGATCCAAGAGAACAGGGCAATACGGTGGGCATGTTAAAAAGGGAATGGACAGAGGGTCGGGCGGCAGGCGGCAGGACAGGCAAAACAGGCAGAGGGCCAGACATTACAATGGCAGTGTACCTTGTCTACCTCGAAACCCGTTCTGTGCTCCCAGGCTCAAACTTGTCCTTTACCTGCCCTGATTTGCCATTTCGTCTGTCTTGCCCTGACCTACCTTACTTTGTTCCGCCCCGCCTACCTTGTCCCGTCCCATTGCGTCCGTTTCGCGCCGTTAAATTGTACTCTTCCGTTCCGTGCCGTTACCTGCCGTGCCGGATCATGCCGGTCAGTGAATACTGTATGTGCAAGCAACGTCGCGTATGACTTAAGACCTAGTGCATTTTTGCAGCACGAGCAGTGGCCGGTATAAGTTGGTAAAGCGCAACTTTCGCCGTACAGCAATAATGTCGCGTAAAAGTATTCATAGTTTAAGTAATGTCGTGCGTAGGTCAAGCCTTTTGAGTTTTAGCGGTATAAGCGATGACAGGAATAAGTTTTTGATGCACAATTTGTGTGGCGTCCCATTAATGTTGCGTGTAGGTATTCAAAGTAGAAGTAATGTGTACAGTTAATAGCTGTGAGTTTTGCAGTGGAAGTAATGTTATGCATAAGTAAAGGAGGTACACATTTTTGCAACATAAATAAGGCCATGCATATCTCAAGGCTATAGACACATTGCGATAGAGGTAATGTCGCCTATAAGTAGGAACTGTAGATATTCCGCACCTGTGAAAGTGACGGATATCACTTTTGAAGAGAAGTTTTACGGTGCAGAGCTAATGTAGCGTATGAGCATTGGCAGTAAAAGTAATATCTTAGCACTAGTGTCACGTATAAGTGTTGACGGCAAAAATAATGTCGTTAATGCCGTAGCATCCCTGTCAGTAGTTTTTGCAGCTGCGCCTATGTCGTGGAACCAGTGTGACTGATCTGCAGCACAGTACGTGGCTGTGTGACTGATCTGCAGCACAGTACGTGGCGGGTATTTAGCTGTCGCGCCGCGCGGTTGGAGGGAGTTCCACAATCCGCGGCGGTGATCAGGCGTCCCGGCCTGAGCCAGGCGGACGTGGCCCACGACAGGCCAAACCAGGCGCACAGACAGACAAAAACTCGACTACCGCTGGGGGTAGGCATTCAAAGATCGGTCGGACTCGTGTGCATGGTGGGCGCTGAGCCCAGCAAGCGAGCCTGCCAGAGCCGTCTGCAGCCGGCACGTATGAGCCCAGCAAGCGAGCCTGCCAGAGCCGTCTGCAGCCGGTACGCATCTAAGATGTCATGTCTGACAGTGTGTGGTCTGCCGGGTGAGCTGCGCTGGGAATAATTCTTTTTTTCGCATTTTTTTAAAAGTTGCACAAGACATAACATAACAAACACAGCAAGCTGAAACAAATTTACATAGCTGCATTCCGTTATAACGCTCACATAATCTTTTCTGTGTCACTCCACAGTGGCATGAATCCCACGGATCTACCTTCTATGTCATGAACGCACGCTTGCATTCCTTGAAAGGTCCTTAAACGTATCAAAAACAAGGGCTCAACCAGATTCTCTCACATTTGGCATGCTTCCATGTGAGCGATTAAACCAGAAGGAAAACGGGCTGAGATCGCGCTTACTATCGGTGTGAATTCCAAAACGATTTAAGGAGGTGCAGTTCCATCTCTCGATATTCCCGTTTACCACTTTTGAAAAAACCTAGCTATTACCAAAACGTCTCAACCACTTGGCAATCAATCATCAAAACGTACGTTACCTTCTGCTATTCGTCTCGATAAAGACATGTTGCCGAAATAGCAGCGCATCTATGTCTCCATTTTCCTAACTTTTCTCTGATGATTAAGACTATTGCTACTATCTCATCTATGTGAATGACGTTTCTCACAAATGCATTTAATAACTTACGTAATGTCGAACATCACGTAATACCACTATTTCCAAATACCACTAAGCTTCGCATGAAAGCCCCCCAGTCAGCTTGGGTGCCGACACGGATCTACATGCCTACTTCGTGGCATTTTTCCCAGACTCCATCTTTGTCCAAGCCGTTGAGGGTGTCAAACTCTTCTCAGCCGTTGCATTGATCGCCGTGTTTTACTTAGCTTGCTGATCATGGTGTTACACGTCTAATATCCAGATAACCACATGTTCCCTTTGCTCCTCGACTTTGTACCACTCTCTCACGAAAAGCTACACTGGCCTTTAACATCAGCAAGTTTTGTCTTTCCAATGCAATTTTACTTCTAGGAAACGATTAAAAGACGATGGCTGTGGTAATACCATGTTCTTCGCGTTTCCGTTTCAATGCATTTGAGCTAATGCGGTTAAGGTCTCATCCCAGAAACCAGCGAGATTTCTGCCACGGGTATGGCAATCTCTAATTGCACATCGAAAAATACTTAATCTGCTTCCAACATAAAATTGTCTGTTAACAAAAAGTTTCCAACCAGTGAGTTTTGAGTGAAACCATTTTTTAATCCCTGTTGCCCTGAGCACACTGGTAAATGATCCAGCATTTGGATCTTAATACCGCATTCTAAGAACTGTTTATTCGTAAACGCCAGCCGCTTATGTTGTCCCTCCGTCCACATACA